CATGGGACGACATGGACTGGGAGAAAGGAACGAAAATGGTGAGAGATTTGCAAACCTATGTGCCTTCTATAAACTGGTCATAGGTGGCACCATATTCCCACACAAAAACATACACAAAGCCACTTGGATTTCATCGGATCACACTACACAGAATCAAATCGACCATATCTGCATCAACAAAAAGTTCAGGGGGACGATGGAGGATGTGAGAACCAGAAGAGGAGCTGATATAGCATCCGATCATCATTTGCTGGTCGAAAAGATGAAACTAAAACTCAAGAAGCAGTGGACAACGGTTCGGACAACATCACAAAAGTTTAATACGGCCTTTCTTCGAGATGCTGACAAACTCAACAAATTCAACATAGCCCTCAGCAACAGGTTCGAGGCCTTTCATGATCTACTCAATGGAGAGGGAACTACCATGGAGAGCAACTGGAAAGGTATCAAGGAGGCAATCGTTTCAACATGTCAGGAGGTTCTGGGCCAAAAGAAGCACCATCACAAGGAATGGATCACTGTTGGTACACTGGATAAAATTGAAGCAAGGAGGAACAAGAAAGCAGCAATCAATACCAGCCGAACAAGAGCGGAAAAAGCCAAGGCACAAGCAGAATACACAGAGGCAAACAAGCAAGTGAAGAGGAGCATCAGGACCGACAAACGTAAATATGTGGAAGATTTAGCGATGACAGCGGAAAAGGCTGCAAGAGAGGGAAACATGAGACAACTGTATGATACAACAAAGAAACTTGCTGGAAATTACCGTAAACCAGAAAGACCAGTGAAAAGCAAGGAAGGCAAAGTAATCACCGACATTGAGGAACAACGAAACAGGTGAGTAGAACATTTCAAAGAACTCTTGAATCGACCAACTCCACTGAACCCGCCCAACATCGAAGCAGAACCTACAGACCTCCCAATCGATGTTGGCCACCAACAATTGAAGAGATCAGCATGGCCATTAGACAAATCAAGAGCGGCAAAGCAGCAGGACCAGACAACATCCCGGCAGAGGCACTGGAAGCAAATGTAGCAGCAACTGCCAAGGTACTCCACATCCTCTTCAGTAAGATTTGGGATGAAGAACAAGTACCAACAGACTGGAAAAAAGGACTTCTGATCAAGATACCAAAGAAAGGCGATCTCAGCAATTGCGACAACTACAGGGGCATCACTCTCCTCTCAATACCAGGAAAAGTCTTCAACAGAGTATTGTTAAACAGGATGAAGGATTCAGTGGACGCCCAACTTCGAGATCAACAAGTTGGATTTCGTAAGGATAGATCGTGCACAGATCAAATCGCAACTGTACGTATCATTGTGGAACAATCAATCGAATGGAATTCATCACTCTACATCAACTTCATCGAAGGCATTTGATAGTGTGGACAGGACGACACTATGGAGGCTTCTTCGACACTACGGCGTGCCTGAGAAAATAGACAATATCATACGGAACTCCTATGATGGACCAAACTGCCAAATTGTCCACGGAGGACAACTCACCGACTCGTTTCAAATAAAGACCGGTGTTAGGCAAGGTTGCTTACTCTCACCGTTTCTCTTTCTCCTGGTGATCGACTGGATTATGAAGACGTCAATATCTGGAGGAATGCACGGGATACAGTGGACAGGCAGGATGCAACTTGACGATCTAGACTTCGCGGATGATCTGACTCTTCTATCACAAATGCAGGAGAAAACGACCAGTGTAGCAGCAGCCTCAGCAGCAGTAGGTCTCAATATAAACAAAGGGAAAAGCAAGACTCTCCGATACAACACAATATGCACCAATCATTTACACTTGACGGAGAAGCTTTGGAAGATGTGGAAACCTTTACATATCTGGGCAGCATCATTGATGAACACGGTGGATCAGATGCAGATGTGAGGGCGAGGATCGGCAAAGCAAGAGCAGCATACTTACAACTGAAAAACATCTGGAGCTCAAAACAATTGTCAACCAACACCAAGGTTAGAATTTTCAATACAAATGTCAAGACAGTTCTACTGTATGGGGCGGAGACGTGGAGAACTACGAAAACCATCATTCAGAAGATACAGGTGTTTATTAACAGTTGTCTACGCAAGATACTTTGGATCCGTTGACCAGACACTATCAGCAACAAGTTACTGTGGGAGACAACAAACCAGATTCCAGCGGAGGAAGAAATCAGGAGGAAGCGCTGGAAGTGGATTGGGCACACTTTGAGGAAATCACCCGATTGCGTCACAAGACAAGCCCTCACATGGAATCCTGAAGGTCAAAGGAGAAGAGGAAGACCAAAGAACACATTACGCCGAGAAATAGAGACAGACATGAGAAGAATGGACAAGAACTGGATAGAACTAGAAAAGAAGGCCCAGGACAGAGTGGGTTGGAGAATGCTGGTCGGCGGCCTATGCTCCATTGGGAGTAACAGGCGTAAGTAAGTAACTGATTAATATCATGTCAGTTAATTTGTAGTGTATATGATCAACTGTTCTGATAAAACTATAATATACTGATGATCTTGATTAAGTCAATCAAATTTTGCATGAAATTTAAAGCTCAGTAAAGGACATCATGTGTCTTACTAAAAATCAAGTAAAAATTGTTTATATCTAGTTAGTGAAATGCTTTTAAAATATCTTATATGCAACCAAATAGTGTGTTTAACATGTTCTGTAAGCTATACCTGCTCCAAGTTGAACTTGTATCTGCGTGTACTTCAATTTATTCAGGGCATAGTCAAGATTATTTTTGTGGTAAAATGTATTCTCCTACTTCAACAACATGTTTTAATCGTAGCTGTTAATTCTAACACTCCTAACCTCAAGTTCTAAACTTAGCTGCGATGTAAGGTGGAAGTAGTCTATAGGAGATCCTGGATCTAGGTCTCATACAATTCGGTAGTCATCACTAAGATGTACCTGTAATCTTGGGAGAACTGATGCTCCCTGGTGGATTCAACTCCGAGTCACCCAGCTTCACAGTCCGAGACTTGAAGTCATCACGTACAACTAGTTTATAAGTTCTAACAAATGCATGACCAAAATTATATTTGATAGTTTACACCATAGACTGAACTTAGTTAAATAATCATTAGGGACTAGAAAGCATGATACTTGTTCACTGAAAGCTAAGTTTGTGTAAAGCAATTGGTGATAGGTCTAGAGATTTCGTGTTTGATCTCCGGTGAGGTTTTGGATTCTCCCTATTTACGAGATGTATACCACGTTTTGACAGCTACCCATTACTTTTCGGTTTCCAATAGCTATTTGATCATGTTCGGTCTATAATGTAAACTCTAAAGTCCAATAATCTTTACAAACCGCTTATACTAATACAATATTATTGACATAGGACAGTCAAACATCAAAAAATTTTACATTTCCATAACAAACGTGATGGAAATTTGTACCCAATGAGGTAAACTTCTGATAGATGAGTATACGTGTAATTTTATCATACAAGTAATAAAAGGATGAATAACAACTATAAACAAGTGAAAAAGATTGTCCAAGACAGAGTTGTATGGCGAATGCTGATGGGCGACCTATGCTTCTCCATGAGAGGTAGCAGACGTAAGCAAGTAAGTAATAGAGGATCAGGATTAAAATTAAAACCGACTTTAATTGACATATATATATATATATATATATATATATATATATATTAAATAGGAATAATATATTTGTAAAATCTTAGCGAATGAATTTTTCAAATTAAATCCAACGTTTCGCCTGGCAATCTGGTCCAAGCTTTTTCAAGGAATTATCTTAATTCCTTCAACTCGGCGCTCAAATACTGTGAAACTATTCGTTCTAATTTAGACGAGAGTTCTCATATATATATATATTGATTTTACAAAGCAGTTCACTGTTCATATTTCTGAGCTAACAATTATCAACCTTTGTGAAACATTTATTGTGGACAATCAATCTGTTTTCGCCGAGTTATCTGAGGTACCTTAATAGTCCATGTAAAAAGTAAGACATGTTATAAGGAAAAAATGAAATCGGAAACTAGTTATCTAAAATGTATTACTTTCTATGCTTTTTAATATTATTTCTGAACGTCCAATCAGATCAACAGAATAAAAAACATCTGTAGGGGTATATTAATGGCATTTTTTTGAATGGCTAAAATTTGATTGGCTTTAAAAATTGCTAAAATAACCAATCAAATATTGAAGCGTATTTTGTTTATTTGTGAGAATGATAATGTTAGAAATAATTATTCACAAAACTTAAGTGATTTTAAAACATGTAAGTCTATTCAACAATCAACCATAAACGTTCTTTTTTTTTCTGAACATTTAGTTAAAAGAAAGTAATATGTTGAAAGCAATATGTAAGAACTTTCGTCTTAATTAGAGCGATTAGTTTCACAGTATTTGAAAGCCGAGTTGATGTAAGACATTAAATAGGAATAATATATTTGTAAGGAATTAATTCCTTGAAAAAGCTTGGACCAGATTGTTAGGCGAAACGTTAGATTTACTTCAAATTCACTTCGCTGAGATTTTACAAATATATTATTCATATTTATTGAAAGCAATGTTTAGAAAATGTTTAGAAAATGAACAATATCGGAAATCCGATATAGTGTCGAATAAATCACTGTGAACTTCATAGATTCACTGAAAATAATACATGAATGGATTTTTCATCTTCAATATGAAAGTCGATTAACCAGTAAAGAATCATACAATATTCTTAGTTTACAAATGATATTTGAGCTAAGTAACTGAAACGTTTGTTCTCCATTTTAAGAATTTTGATAACAAAAAATGAAATGAATAAAGCTGGAGACTGCTTATTAGGAATATTTTGCTTTCCTCACTAATACAATAACCGTCAGCAGATACTATTACACTTGCTTTAAACAAGTATAAATGTTTTTTGTGATAAACTTATCTTAACAATATTTTTCTTTTCTTTTTAGATTCTAACAAAATAAAATACATTCAGAATTTTTGAAAATCTACATATTAACCAATAAAGTTCAACAAATGTGGGTACAAACATGGTGTGAAAATGCTTATCACCTTAGTAATCGAGAGAATCCTGAATCATCTAGTAATCACTTTCATCATATACAATCAATTCCATGCAGTTATCCTCCTATTCATGAAAATTTGATACAAAACGATAATCCTAATATAATCAGTTCATTCTCTTATAATAATAATTTTATTGATACTAGACTGCCAATATCATTTTTACAAATTCCATCTTCATGCAATGATCCAAACTCGACAATGATTACGTCACACTATTCATCGTCACCGGTTACTCTGGATTATTGTGATAATGAAAATACAAATATGATGAGTAATTCACTAACTAATTATGTTACTCCAACTGATTCTATATCACTAAGTCATAATGGTAATGATAATAATGGCAGAAATATGAATAATATTGAAAATAGTAATGATTATGTTAATAATCAGCATCAAGACGGCAACAAGATGAATGAAAGAGAAAATATGGCCTTACCAAGCCATAACCTTGATCGAATGGTAAAGAAATCAGAACTAATAGATAATATCATGACAAATACTGTCAGAGCATGTAACACAAAAAATAATCAATTATATGAACAATTAAATCAACAAAATATAAATACAAAATTGATAAATTTGAATAATTGTCTTTGTAATCAACCTGATATGTATGTGGAGAAAATTAATTCCAGTAAGTATATGAATAAACTTGAAATATTGATAATTTTTGTCAAATATGAATTGATCATTATAAAGTTGTTGAAGTGATACATCAGTGATTAAAACAGTAGACAACTGTTAATAAACACCTGTATCTTCTGGATGATGGTTTTCATAGTTCTCCACGTCTCCGCCTTCGTCACATCTGCATCAGATCCACCATGTTCATTGATGATGCTGCCCAGATATGTAAAGGTTTTCACATTGATTTAACATTGAATTTTAGGCGATTGGCTCAAACCGTGTTTGTTTCTTTCGTTTGCTTCAATTCAGACAAACCAAACAGTATTATTAGTTTGCACAATATAAAATGTATACTTCAAAATCAAGTACATAAATTTAAACTTGATTATTAAGTGTATCAGTTTGTTTAGATTATTAGCAATTGTCGCTAGCTTTTCATAGTAACATACTATTCAATATTAATTGAATTTTATAAAAGGATTTGCTAGGTAACCAAAAGTAGACTAATTCAATTTAGTTAATAGTAGACAATATATTTTTTAAGATGGATTCCTTTACGATCTGTGAAGATCAATTAAATATTTTAGTCCATTTGTTCAGCTCACTTTTATGAATAAATATCACACATTATACACTTGGTTCATTTGACAGATCACAGTTTCACACTTAAACATTGAGGGAATTCTATCAAAGAAAATTTACTGTAAATGAAGGCGTAGTGAATAGGTGTTAAGATGGTTGGCTGAAGTCCAAAAATATGAACTATTTAACTTTGATTTATCGGTTAAAATAATATTGTATTGACCACCATTTCTGTAGTCAGTTAGCAAATCATATCAATAGATGGTTTGGAATGGATTTGCGTAAGCCTAACTTACAATACCAAATTAATTAGACAAGATAAAGATAACGAAAGGGATAGAAATAATACAGTAGCAATGATCATGAGGATGGTTATACATTAGGAATTGGGTTCAAAAGGACGTAGTGGAAAGGTATGTATGGAAGAATATAAGAATTTAAGATTGAGGGGAAGCTAGAAAATAAATGCCTCTAAGCCATATCACTCAACATCTCCAACCACGGTTGACGCGTGGAAACAAACCAGGAGGTCAGCATCAACCAGTGTAGGTCAGTTCTACAATGACCGATTCTATGGGCTAAACCTATGTTTTGTTTTGCCCATTTCTGCACTTTCAAGCATCATTTGTAGAGCTAGGTAATTAGTAAGCGTGTAAACCTCACGCCCTAACCCTTACAATCGATGAAGATTTACAGCCTTATCAATTGATTCCCCACCTTTGCATAGTACCTTATGCCTCAACAATGTTCACTCGGTCCTTTCACATGAATGCAAGAAAGGCTTCGAAGACACCTATTGTCGAAAAACTGCAGCCTACACACGTCTCCCAACATCAACATCTATCTCTGACAACTATAAAATAATGTAGGTGGGCTACCGCACAGTATCTAAGCAGTTTAGTAAATTGTATGTTATATCCAGTATAGAAGGGAACAATTTCCAAGAGTTCCCAACCGGAAAAACCACCGATAAAAACTACTTTTCAGCAAGTCAAAGTTTCAGAAAAAGTCTAATTTTATTAAAGTCACAAATCAAAGCCTGATTTACATTCAAGCATAGAATCATCAAATTAGTACTGTCAGTTCTAAAAGGGTCATGTTTGCCAATCAGTATGACTTTGTAGTACAAAAAACTTAGAATCTATTTATCACAATAGCCTCAAAATATTGTAACAACATACACAAATACTGACTGTTGATAAAAGACTTGTCAGTAGATTTTGAATTCCAGACGAATCTACAAAATAGTTGTAGCCCATTTTCAGGAAGGTACTGGGTGACATGGTTTCGAAGTTGGTCACAATTAAGTCAGTCGTATTTATTATTTATCTTCATTTAAATCTCATTTTATTCATCTTGTTAATTTTCGGTCTTATTAAAATGACGTAGGTTTTAACAAAATTTTCTACAAAATCATTTCATTTCATAATGATTATTGTGAGTTCACATATCTTCAAGATAGTTTTCCCACTGTTAATGACTTTAGACAGTCAACTAATTAGTGAACGAAGTAATGACCCATTGATGACATTCGGTAAAGAATGACCAAGAAAAAACTTTGACTATCAGTGATGTATTGCCCAAGTGGCCTCAAGATATAAAATTCATCCTGTCTGTGGTAAAATGGGTACTTGTCATCAGAGAGTCATAGACAAGAGACGAAATAGATATATACTTTGTGGACACTTTTAATTGTATATTATAATGGGCGTTATCGTGCACATGCATAAGTCCAATTCACATACAGATGTACGTGAGTTATTAATAAGATATGATTGTAAATAAATAATGATCAACTAAGTCTCACGAATGAATCGTCTCCAGATCTTGCATCAAGGGTAGTTTACCTTTAGATCACTTTCTGGTACAGAATCGAAGAAACCATTGATGATATATTCAAGGTTAACCAGTTACAGTTTTTATCAGAACTCATCTAAAAAGCTTTACGAAACTGCTTAGTCCTGAGTATATGATTATAAGATAGAAAATTTATCACAACTTTCATTTCATCTAAAGTGGATTATTCATCCTTACGTACAGAACAACTATCTATTATATATAAAAGTACATGTTATAAAAAACTAATCACTGAAAAGAAGTTTCGAACAATAAATTAAAATAAGCGTTTTTCTTCACAGTATTCTATGCATTAAGAAAGTATTAAATTGGCATCTATTATAGTGTAAACAATAATTATTAGTCAATTCAATAATAATAATAATAATAATAATAATAATAATAATAGTGGTAGTATCTTATCTAAAACTATATTTTCATCGTCTTTTTTTCAAAAACTAAATTTGGAAACTTTCATCACTTGTTACTATAATATTAACAAAAATGTAAGTAGCTGTTTACATCTTTATAGTAAATTTGTTTAAATTATCGTGCATACTGACAGTGTTTGAAAGCATGAAAACATATATGTCCATATTTATATTAGTTTTCTACAACAACCAAATAACTAGCTTATGACTTATAACACTAACTAGTCGAATAGTAAACTGAAGAAGCCTTTGTAAATGCTTTGTTTACACAAATGAACAATTATTTGACCATATTTGTTCATATGTTATATTAAAAATAAGTGTGTACATATATACGTACAATCATACAAGCATTTATATATAATGGCATATTATGGTCAATTGAAATTCTATTTTCAGAGGCTGATGATAATATTTTACAGAATTATTAACAATTTTTTTTCGAAAATTCAAATCTTGTGTAACTATCTGCCGTTTGTAGTAAGAATGAAATTTTTTTTGGATTTGCTACATAAATAAGATCGACATGTTTTTTTAATACTATTTTACATAAACCCAATATTCAGTCCTCTCTTTTTACATTCTTCCACCCCTTCTTTATTGTTAGTGCATGTATATACAATTAGAGTATATGGATACGTGTAACACACCTGATGACAAATTCTGATATACATAAATATTTATACAAACTCTTGAATCATCATTTATTTAATTTTTGAACAAAGTATTTATTATTATCATAATAATTATAAGGATTATTGATTTTTCTTAGTAAATTTGTATAATTTAAACAAGTGAAATTTTGTTCACCAATAATTTAATCTGACCACTTAAATTGTATATTTAATACAAAGATTCACTTATTCACACAAAATTAATGGATTAAAAAGTATGCGTTAATAAACATAATTATATTAATAATAATAATAATAATAGTATCACAGATAAGCACTTAAATCAATGTATACACATTTATGATAATAATGAGGTCAAAAGTTTAACCGATTTAACTTAAGCATAGCAACTAAATTTTTAATGAAATTCAAAGAATTTATTTTAGACAAGATTTAGATAAATATTTTCTAAGCATAGAAAAAAATGGATTAAAATGTTTGTTAATCTGAGGAACTTAAGGAAACTGTTTTCGGCATATATATATATATATATATATATATATATATATATATTAGTTGCCGTACAACATTATCATGAATAATTAGATTGATCAACTATTCCCTCCTTATTCTATTTGAAAAAAGAGGAATAATTCATATCATTTAAAATTGTTCCATATAAATATGTTCACTGATATTTAAAGTGGTTTTAATGCATATCTAAAGTGTTTAATGTTGATTAATTATGGGCTGATATGTACATACTTAGAGTATACCTTTAGTTGTCTAGCCAGTGTGTATGTTTATTATTGGATAAATTGTTAACGTAACTATCACCCGATCAATAGTCAACATGAATTTAATTTGCATAGAAAAATATTATGATCATTATTAATATTATTTATGATCAAGTAATTAATTTGGGTCAGTACACAAAATTAATTGGCATGATTGAATTAAATTAAATAATTTCAAAGTAGAGATATGGTTTTAGTTACTACAATGTTTACATCAGCTGAGACTGGTCGATTTTTCTATATTTTTATAATCTAGAAAAATATTAACAGTAACAACTACATTTTTCCTTAAAATATTAACCAAGTATTCGTTTGTTTACTAAGTTTTTACTCACACATTTTGTAAACAAGTTAGTGATACTAGTGGATTGGTCAATTTGAATTACGTGAAGTGGATTAAGTTCTAATCTACAATTTTAAAAAATTAAATGTCATACTTTTATTACCCGAATACGGATTCCAGAATCACTAATCGATTACAAAACTTTAAGATCTCATAAGAATACGAAGAATTACTCATTGATGATATTTAATAATGTTTGTGACAAATACTAAGTTGGAATTTGATTAGTTGATTAGTTGATTGCTTTCTAATAGTTATCTTAAGCTATTGATAGTTGGATGACCGATGAATTGGACATTATAGATGATTGGGTCTGGTAGCTTTCATCTTCAAGGAGAAGACTATCTCCGTCTCAGTGTTATGTTATCATTATGTTATCTAAGTTTGAGTTCACATGTAAGAGC